TCTGTGAGACTGTGAGTAAAATGAATATTCTCCAGAAGATAGGTTAATTTTTCATATTTTTTAATATTGACGGAAAACGGATTTAAGTTTTTTTGATTAATCAATTTTTAGATGAACCGCAACATGTTTTAGAATTTGAATAAGGAAAAACATTAAATAAAGTATATTTAACTAACACTATGAGTTGTTTAACAAGAGCTTTTGAAAGATTAATATTGTCAGAATTGAAAATTGTACCAAAAATTTTGGGCAATGTAAGGTATAAAGTAAAATATGTAGAAAAACCACAGATTGGACATGGAAAGGCATTCCGAAGAATAATTCATTTCCCGGAAGAATATACAGTAAAACCTTTAGATGTAACTAACTTGGGTGGTAGAGATCCTAAAAGTGGTAGGGTTGTTGTTAAAGGAATTGGTGGTGGCATAAAACATAAATACCATTGGATTGATTGGAAACGAGAAGGCCCTTCTGAGGGAGTGCCACAAATCGAAAAGGTCATTAAAATTATAAAAGATGGATGTAGGACAGCACATATTGCGTTAGTAGCACATGAAGATAAATTAAAATATATTCTTGCAACAGAAAATATGAAAGCAGGGGATATCATTCGAACATCATGCTATATTCCTCGTATACCAGGTATGTAATCACTGTAGCTACATACATATATTTTTTCATATTACGTGGTATTTCATATGACGTGTAGTTCTCGAACAGTACTGTTTGTTTGGGCCAATGAATGATATTACACTGTTACGCAAAGAAATTGAAATTAATCTATAAGATGAGGTTTTATTTGCTGGTGTGATTTTCAAGCCTAGTCACAAATTTTCTTTCTGGAATGTTACTATAACATTTGCACCTTACTTTTTCCGTCAAAAGTAGTAAATCCACTTGGTTAACTTTTCCTAGGATTGCTATATTTCAGTATTTAGTTATTATATAACCATGTTGATTGCCATTTTTATTATTTTTAGCAGAAAAAAATGTTTACATTCATGTATCGATGGTAAAAAACAAAATATTGCAAAAAATCAATAAAAACTAATCAAAGTTTTATATCAATCAAATATGCAAGTAAACAGAACTAATGTACATTATGCTAGTAAGCGGCAATATGTGTAGTAGCAGACATAGGCTAAATTTATGGTCAAACCATGTGCTGCACTATGCTCATAATAATACACAATGCTATTGACTGCTACAAAAAATATGTGTCATACACTCGACCAAGAAAATGCACGGCCAACATTTCCCACCAAGAAAACTGAGATTGTTCACCAGCATGCTAGGCCGACAGGGCAGGCATTAGGGTGCTGCTAGATACGTATCGAATAAATTAATCGATACGAAACCTCAGATCAGAGGCAGACATGTACAATGATGTGGATAGTGGAATTGCTAAAATGTGAATAATGATACTTCGGCATCATTAGTAAAAACTTCGACTATTTTAGATATGCGCCTAGCGTTGCCAGGCGTCCGGATAAAGCCGGACACAGTTAGGCTTTTTGGATGCGTGTCCGGGCAAAATAGGCAGTGTCCGGCCTGTCCGGCTTTTGTTAGGCTTTTTACATTTGACCAGAAAAATGAGAAGTATGTATCCAGAACTTTGAGAGAGTTTTTCGAAAATGACCTCAACGAATGCTATTTTTGGGCTGTTCATGCTTTCATGTCGATTTATCAAAATCGCATTAATAACACAGAGAAAGCTGATGTTTCTGTAAATGAGGTTTTGGAAAACTGTTCTGAGATAATGAATAGCAAAAATGCAAAGATTGGACAAAACTTTTACCCACTACAGGTAGTTTCTATTTTGCGTAAATTCGACGAGAACAACGAAAACTCTGAACAAGTTACTGCGTTCAAAGAAAATATTAAAAACATGTATATTATTGCAGTAGACTATTTACGATCTTGGACTGAAAACTTGTACAAAGACACAAGACATTTTAATTGGATGACATTAAAGAACGTTCCTGAATGGAGTCAAGTTTCGGAAACTATAAGTATTCTAGCACAAAATAACGTTAAAGTTGACGATAGCAAATGTTTTGACCAATTGCAAAACCTAAAAACATTTTTGAACAACAAAAAGGGACCCGATGATTTCAAGGGGCTGTTAGCGCATAAAAAATGGGTGGCCTATTTTAAATCGACGAGTAATCCAGATTGCTTCTCAGAATTCCTTACTCTTTGTCAATATTATTTTTCAATTCCGGGTCGTAATGCATGTGAAAGAGTTTTTTCTTTAATTGGTCAACAATGGTCAAAAGAATGCAACAGATTACATGTAGACACTATAGCTAAAATGTTGGTTGTAGAATTTAATTTCAAGCATTTGACATGCAAAGAGTTTTACAACTCAATTTTGAAGGAAACTGAGCTTTTAAAACAGGTGTCTGCCAATCAAAAATATTAATTATTTTTGTTTCAATTACTTTTAAAGTATATTTAGTTATAATTAACTAAACTTCACTAATGTGAAGAAGTTTTATTTTGTTTAATTTTGTTTTGCATTACAAATTGCAATAGTAGTAAGTAATGATAATAAATGATTAATAATAAAGAAGACTGATTCATTCAATTTTATTGTTATTTCATTAGAATTTAAGAATATTTTATGGTAAATGATATGATATGGTTTTACATAAAAAAAATTTTTTATCACTAAGCCAAAAAATCCTTTATAGTTAAGGGTGTCCGACCTTTTCACCCAAATGTCCGGCTAAATTGACTGGTCTGTCCGGCTATTTGATTTTAAGATCTGGCAACCCTATATGCGCCTGTGACCTCGGTAAATGTTGAAGGGTCATTTTCATTTTTGAATTGACCTACCTAACCCACAAATGATTAACCACGGAACAGTTAAGGCAACTGTTAATTATTTTCTACAATCGCACCATAACAGCTTGCAGTGCATACTTTATTTTACAATCACAAAGGCGTGTTTCTTCGTAAGTGTATCACCCTGTGTATTTTCAGTGTAATTTCTTATTAAAATAAATCAATGCAGGTGAAAAATAAAAGAAAGGAATTTAATTCCCAGTTGACGGGTATTATATTTATATTTTAATATCCTGAAAATAACGCAGAAAATTTCATGGCACGCCCCTACCGCGGTAAATTGTTACATTAGTTCCAATAACAGAACTTTATTGGCTTATTCTTTTCTTGGAATTCTATCGGCAAATATTTTACAGACTGTATATATTTTATGGTAAGTTCCATGTGAAGTGTTTGGTGTAGGAAAATAGACACTGCCATTTTTGTTTCATACTATTATCCAAATAATTACATATATATGCTTATGATGTAAAGAAAGTAGTTATAAGAAGGCAATGGTTGTGCCACTTTTTCTTTGAATAAAATTGCATAAACTCAGCCTACATTCTAATAGTATCTAAACACTAGAATATAGCAAAATCAAAATAAAATTAAAGGAATTGATTTGTTACTTCTTATCAAATGTGCAGTGCTACACAATGTTTTAGTACAATAAAGATCATAACAATTAATTTCAAAAACACGGTTTTTTTATTCTTCACCAACATTTTTGTGTTATTTGACACTCTCTTCATGGCTAAAAAATTCATAAACATTTCTCTAAAATTATTTAAACTATACAATTACACTTATTAAAATACATATATTCGGCAAATAATTTTTTTTATAAGTATAAAAATATTATTGACTTGACTATTGATGATTCTATCACAGGACCATAAAAAGTACAACAAACAGAAACAATTAAAACTGTAATTTATCAAAATTTTGTGTATTTTTTGTGAATGTTTCAATTGTAAACATGAAACGGTAAAAATATTAAAAATGTTTTCTTCAAAGGTTTGTCCAAGAACATAAGATCACTGGCGCAATTTATTGAATATACTATCAGCATTTGTTTGATTCAGCACAAATTAAAATATCCATTGATATAAATTTAATTTGCTTTATCCTGGCAAACATTTTTATTATTTTTGCTAATTTATCTAATTATCATTTTTACAAAAGACCCATTAAAAAGTAAGTTGTAATTATAATTGTTGTATGTTCCTTGTTTTTTTATATTGTTAAAAATTTAGTTATTGAATATATTTTGAAGTTATATGATCTTTATCCTACCAAAACTCCGTCGCATTATAACTATAATCAAGCTCATAATTTAAAAAAAAATTAATATTAAAAATTTTCAGTGCGTCCCAATGAAGGAGATGCCTATCCTTTGGGTGCATTGCCCATAGGTACACAAGTTCACTGTGTGGAAAAATATCCCGGACTCGGTGGTTTTTTGGTTCATTCAGCCGGAACCTGTGCCACTATCTTGCGAAAAGCTCCAAATGATCATATAGTAATTATGATGCCTAGTAAACGAGAATTTAGTTTACCAGCAATTTGTATGTGTACAGTTGGTAGATTAAGTAATGTAGAACACAGTAGCACTCCTATTGGATCAGCTCAAAGAAATAGGGAACTTGGGAACCGTCCACGATCTGGTTTATGGCAAAGAAAGAAAGGTATCCACGGAAGAAAACTTAGAAGACCTCCACCTGTAAAAACAATAGTAGCAAAGCAGTTAGATGATACAGAAACAATTACTTTGTCGTGTGATAGACCTTTTGTTAAAACTCTTTTTAACCAATTTCATACTAATTAAATTCTTAATGTATGTCTTATATAGGTTTTAAATAAAACTATATACAAAAGATACTCAACTATTTTATAAAGAAAAGAAATTATAAAATTCTGTATTGCAAAAATTTCAGGCAGTATATTTATGAAAAACGTTGCACCATCAGATTCCACATGTCATAAAACCCCTGTGTACCAAATTTAGTGATTTTCGTACAACAGGGTTCTGAGATATAAAAAAAAGATTATTCTTAGGGGCGGATTTCAGGGGGCTGTAACTCCGAAAGAAGGGGCCACTTGGCAAAAATAAAAAATACGGGTCCCCTAAATTTGTCCTAAGAATCTGTGACCAAATTTTGTTGCATGAATTTCGGGACACCCTGTATAGCAAGAAATTAATGAAAAAAATTTTGTTTTAAATATGTACCTATATTAGAAATGCTTTTAATGTTTTCTTAATTCACTGTCCCAATTACTTTAGCTAAATCTAAACTGATAATAATTTCCTTAGATAAAACGTTCTATTTTCGTCAAAATATTGATAAAAAATGTACCTATATTACAAGTGAGACCACACCAGTTTTACTGTCATTACTCGAAATTTTTTCTGCTATCGAAGAACAAATGCGAAAGCTAATAATAGAATATGTTAAAAAAATAATAAATGTTATCAATAACAAAAGAATACACTTTTTTCACTTAAAATAGTATGAAAATCTTAAACATTCTTATAAGAATAAAAACAAAGCTCCATAATTTTTTTGAGAACCGAGAGTATCGAGAGCGCTATGTCCACAGAGTGTTAATAGTATAGTTCTTCTGAAGTTAGTTGAACATGTATAAAAACGCCTAGCAATAAAACTTAATTAGTTTCATAGGCGTCCCTAAAAAAGTTTTCTGCTAAAGGTAAAAAATTATAATAATTTGTATACAATGTGTAGAAAACTTCTATTATATGTTCATTTGACCAACAACATATTTTAATTATTTATGTCCTCAAACCGTCTTATCACAGCTTAGAGAATAAATTATTATATTAATGGTAAATTTCGTTTTGTTCCGTTTCAAAAGGTCTCTAAAATGCCATGTTGTAATAATATTAGTAAACAAAATATCCCTCTTATAATAGAAGGTGCCTATAATAAATTAAAATTACCTGAATCACACCAAAATTCGCATTGCTGCACTGCACTGCTAGGCCATTTGTCGAGAACTGAATTTATGGCCAGGTGGCCCAGTGCAGCTGTGTTTGTGCTGCGTTTGCCCGCGCGCTTATACTTCAACTGGCCGACCAGATCTGTATATGGGTATGGTTAAATAAATACGCAAACAAGTTTTTCAAATATTTCAATGCCAAGTTGCTGCGTCAGCGATATAACCTGGTACATACTGCCAACCTCTTGGTTTTTCAATTGAGTGCAGAAAGACTATAATAGCTTCAAATGACATAGCTTTTGTTAAAAAATTTATAAAATTTAATTTAAAAAAATCTATTTTCAGTTCTTTAAGAACTAATAATTTTATAAGATAAGCCCGAAGAAAAAATACATAAACCTATTCGTGATGTTATTTTACAAGACCTACTCTTAGTTGCAATTTTTGCAATCAGAATTCATTAATCACTATTTGTATGTAAGGGCAATTTTTCGCGATTTAAATAAAAATGGAGAGCAATGCAGGAATTCTGAATTCGGATTCAGCATGTTATAATTTCATAATGATACATATAGATCTAGTCTTTGGAACAGACTACTTTTTTGTGTGCCTGTGTTTTTAATAACAATGTAGTAGTAGTAGTAGTAGTAAAAGGGGCGGCCTCAGCCTGGCAATTTAGGCCACAAGTGGGCCCTTTTTGCCTACCCCGCCGTCCCATCACCTAACCACTCTCTGCTCTCTCTCCTCGAACCTACCCGACGCCTTGATGAACGCCAGGATTTTGGTCCATGGAAGGTCTCTCACCTCAACCCCTTGCAGCTCTTCAGCACCAAAGACTTTATGTCTTATTCTCCCAAAGGCTGCACACTGTCCCAGAAGGTGGACAGGGGTGTCCTCCTCTTCGCCACATTTCGGGCATAGAGGGTCCTCCTCAATTCCTATTAAGCTTAAATGCCTCCTAAGTCTGCAGTGGCTTGTCAGAACCCCCACCATTTGGTTTAGGGCTTTTCGACGGAGGCTCAGCAGCCATCTCGTCTTGGATTTGCTAGGTCCATGTATAAAACTATGGACCTGCCTACATCCTCTATTTCTCCTCCAGTTATGACCTAAAGTTTGATAGGCCCATTTATTTAGGGCCCCGTTAATGCTGCCTCGTGTGATACCTAAGATTGGTTCAGGTCCCTGTCCAGGTCCCCTGGACCCGAGACGAGCTAATTGATCCGCCCTCTCGTTACCAGGGATACCCATATGGCCTGGGACCCAAACCAACTCTACTTCTTTTCGTCTGGCCAATGATTGTAGAGCGTCTCCACATTCTTGGACAAGGACAGACCTAGTCCTCGGGGAGCTAACCGCTCTGAGCGCGGCCTGACTGTCGGAGCAGATAACAATCTTCTCCTTTGCACAATTCCTTACCTCCTCCTTGCTTGCTACCATCGAAATAGCAAAAACCTCGGCCTGGAAGACTGTAGCATACATACCCAGTGAAAAGCTTTCCTGGATGCCTACTAGGGATCTCGGGAAGAACATATCACCATCCTGCTTCCACTGCTCTCTAAAGGGGAAAGTGGTGACATACTTCCTTCCTAACCTAAGCCGGTCCTCTGCTTCCGTAACCCTCATGGCGGATATTGGGATGTCCCTTTCCGCCCTGAGGGCCACGGCAGCATGGCCCTCAGTGCGTCCTTTTGATCTCCAACCGCCGGCGCGGCGTCCCTTATCCTAAGGTATGCTGCCATCGCCTCCCCCATACTCCATGTAGGAAGGGTCGGCAGCCCCAGAAGGACCTCTAACGCGGCCGTTGGGGTCGACCTCATTGCCCCTGTAATACCTAAGCCGGCACATCTCAAAATACAACCGAATAAAATACCAAACAATTTTTTTCCACGAAAAGATATTACGGAATTTGTGTGGAGACAAAAAAGTTAATTTTCTACAGAATTATACAAAAAAATCTTTGTTTCTTTAAAATTTTCAAGTGCTTAAAATTTCTGATAATAAATGTACAAGGAGTGAGAAGAAAAAGGTCATCAGGGAACTAAGTATACATATACAGGGTGGTCCGAATTTTATGCAGGGAACTTCGAGGGTAGATAGATCTCATTGCCTTATAAACATAGGTCTAGAACGGCCTCGTTTTAGNAGAACATATCACCATCCTGCTTCCACTGCTCTCTAAAGGGGAAAGTTGTGACATACTTCCTTCCTAACCTAAGCCGGTCCTATGCTTCCGTAACCCTCATGGCGGATATTGGGATGTCCCTTTCCGCCCTGAGGGCCACGGCAGCATGGCCCTCAGTGCGTCCTTTTGATCTCCAACCGCCGGCGCGGCGTCCCTTATCCTAAGGTATGCTGCCATCGCCTCCCCCATACTCCATGTAGGAAGGGTCGGCAGCCCCAGAAGCACCTCTAACGCGGCCGTTGGGGTCGTCCTCATTGCCCCTGTAATACCTAAGCCGGCACATCTCAAAATACAACCGAATAAAATACCAAACAATTTTTTTCCACGAAAAGATATTACGGAATTTGTGTGGAGACAAAAAAGTTAATTTTCTACAGAATTATACAAAAAAATCTTTGTTTCTTTAAAATTTTCAAGTACTTAAAATTTCTGATAATAAATGTACAAGGAGTGAGAAGAAAAAGGTCATCAGGGAACTAAGTATACATATACAGGGTGGTCCGAATTTTATGCAGGGAACTTCGAGGGTAGATAGATCTCATTGCCTTATAAACATAGGTCTAGAACGGCCTCGTTTTAGAGATACAGGGTGTTGAAGTTGTTAAAAAAATTATTTTTTGCTTATATCTCCGGAATCTATTAACCGATTTCAATAAAATTTAGTACAGATAATGTATGATAGTAGGCCTTGTATTTCCTAAAATATGAGCTCTAAAGGTTCAACCAGTGGTTTACAACTGAACAGGGTCACCCCCTTTTTTATAAGAAAACCTACGCCACTGTATTTTTTACACGATATTATAACGGATTTATATTCTATTGCACAAAATACGTAAAAAAGGTAACTCGAATTTTTTCCCTAAAGTTCACCGTTCTCAAGTTATTTAGACCAACACAATCCCCTTGTAGCAGACACTTCTAACCATAATATTATAAGAATATTTATGTTTATGCTTAAAAGTAAGTGCAATTTGTAAGCATATCAACAAAATTCTTTACACTCGTCGCTTTCATCTTTTTGAATTAAAACGATATTTGGAAAATCGCGACGGAGTAATGAAAGGTACAGAAATGAAATTTTAAGAGTATTTATAACGACGATCTTTGGCTAATTACACGAAGAACGAAGAACGTCTCGGCAACTTGGGGTGAGTAAATCGAAAATTTGTAGTAGAATCTGTAGAATATAAATCCGTTACAATAACTTTTAAAAAAATACAATGGCGTACTTTTTTTTTTATAAAAAGGGGGTGACCCCTGTCCAGTTGTACACTAATGGTTGAACCTTTAGGGCTCATATTTTAGGGAATACAAGATCTACTATTATACATTATCTGTACCAAATTTTATTGAGATCGGTTAATAGATTCCGGAGATACAAATAAAAAATATATTTTTTTTACAACTTCAACACCCTGTATCTCTAAAACGAGGCCGTTCCAGACCTATGTTTATAAGACAAACTCCTATTATTTTAAAGAGATCTATTTGTCCTAGAAGTTTCCTGCATAAAATTCGGATCACCTGTATACTACAGCCATGCTAAAATAATTTTTGATTAAAGTAGGTTTTGAAATATGTTGTGGAAAATTGGTTTCAATATTCACTTTCAAAGGGCTGTAATTTCTTAGAGGACGTTAGAATAAAAAATATATATACATGAAAAATTTCCTACAAAATCCACTGAAGAATCCACTTTACTTAACAATTTTTCGAAACACTGTATATATAAATATAT